GTCAACACACTAGCTCCCATTTCCGCCGCGTCTATCCTGTTTCTATCTCTAATACCAAGTCTATGACTTCTCATGCTCTAGTCTCTTGTGTGGCCGCCATATTCTGTAGTTGGAGAAAGTCTTCTTAGAAAAAGAGCAGAAGAAAAGGGGATTGGTTAATCCTTTTTTTTGTTCTAATCAGGTCATGTAATTTGTCCATACTTTCTTTTTGTCGAGTCTTAATCAAACCACTTAATGCCTGTTCCAGTTTCTTATTGGTGCAATTAGGTAAACCTGAACGTCTTCGAAGAAGACGACGATGAAACGAAGATGAAAGTGATGTCCGGTCTAGCCCGGATGAGACTTAGTAAAATGCAATGTCTCTATTGCGGCGCAAAACTCAAGTATCACTTGTTACATTTTTAAAAATCACTCAATTTGATATTATGATAAATTTGGCACCTACTCACATCGAGTATAAGTAGTGCAGTCGATTGCACTGGCAGTTGTAGGCTTGCGCCGCCGATACCTTCAACGGAAAATGTGATTTGGGAGAGGCCTGACTTGCCCCGGCCGTCATATCGGCTCAAACCCCTGAAATCAGTCCACCTGACTCGAGTCTTTTGCAGAGGCCTGACCGACCCTGTGAAGAGGCCATGCCTGGCCCAACGTGTACACGAGGCCTGTTGACCGGACTTTAAGTCGATGCTCTGCTGGCTCACATGAGTGTACACCAGTTGCTATGACAATACATAAATGCCAGGGTTTTACCTGACGGGCCGACGGAGGGAAGGGCGAGATAAGAGGAGGGGGGGCCAGGCCCGAGGCTCCACGGCCTTTGATTTGGGGCCGACACAAAAGACGCCTCAGATTTGCTGTAGTTACCAAAAAAGAGGCCGGTCGTCCAAAGACAGCCGCACAGCACCTGCGGGTCGGGCGAGGCCAAAGTGCACTTGGTCATCTTAGGCTCTTAGAGACGCCGGACTGACTCATCTGCTGCACTTGCATAATGGAGGCACCGCTGCAGGATAGACCCAAAGAGTGGTACATCGAGCACATGAACTGACGCAAGGTCGGCTCTCAGTGTGCATGTTCAGTCGGAGGGCTAAGTTGGTTGTTGGCATGCCTGATTTCCGGCTTCCCAAGGCCAGTTAAGCGATAATTTAAACAAGTGTGGTTGCAATTTTCCAAATTTGTCTCCAACCCCTTCGTGTATCTACTGCCCCAGTACCGACTGTAGGACTGGGCGAAGACGACTTCGGCTTACCGTCCTGCCAGCTCGATGAGCCCGCGCTGCCTTGGCAGACGTAGTCAAAGCGACAACATGAAATCGTCTAGAACTTGTTTGACCTTGTTTTCGCAACTTGGTCATAATGGTAGGAAAACTTATTGGAACGCACATTGTCCTGAGTCCATTGTATGCATAATTATTTCCAAAGTCGGACCGTCGACGTGGTACATTCCCAGACGTTTCGCCGGCATCGTCAGTGAGTCTCGCCATTCGTAGCACCATATTACAACTCGTCAAAGAGACAAGACTTGTC